CTCTTATAGTTATAATATTTAAATGGGATGGAAAGTATTTCAAAATGATTTTACCCAAGTTGTCCATCCAGCCTTTCAAGATGGCGACCATGTTCTGGACATAGCCTAAAAGATAACCACCCTCACTGTTACCTGTTGGGGTATTCAGATATTTCATTTTCCTTGTCATTTTTGAAATAAAGGAGTGTCCTGAGACTTTTGACTCAATCAGCTTCCAYAAGTCAGGAGGAAAATAAAAAAACAAGAGATCAGGAATCAGAGGCTTAAATGATTCATAATGAAGAAGCGAGTGTCATCAGCACCATCGGTGACACCCGTCCCTGTCATCTGCTGAATTCTCACCCAGTAAACGTGGCTGCTGTGGCAGGAGGAGGCTTGATGTTTTGCGGGTCATGAACTCCAGCACAGATGCTAATAGAGGAGTGAAAGCAGCTTTTTACTTCACCCCCCCTGCCTGAGTGACAGTGATCCTGCAGCAGAGAGACAGAGTCGTCCCTCTGAGACCCCATGTATAAGAGCCAGGCTACGTTTTCCTTTTATCGCCGTAAGAAAAAGGGCACGGAGGTTCACATAACATCAAAACCACAGATCAACAAATATTAGTTGCAGGAAAATAGGTTTTATTCAAACTAAAAAAATATGTCCAACACGTAGATAGTTCAAATGTTTTCAGCTGAGAAGCTGAGGAGCGAGTTCCTTATTTTTCATGTCTTGGGGGAGGGTTTAAGGAATTCCCACTCACTATAGTTTCAGTATTCACTAACTGCTGTCCTGTGACAAAACAGCTTTTTATTACTGTTGGAACATARATCTTTTTATTTTATTAAAGAGTTAAACTCTCTGTATGCTAAAGAATGCGGACACAGGATGAAGACGCTACAGATACAGGTAAGAGTCAGTCGCAGAAAATCTTGTTTTAGTTTCTTAAGTTTTGATTTCTGGACATGAAAATAATAGACTTKATTTATAGTGTTGAAAATAAAACATCCTTCATGCCTTTTTTATGTTCTTCTGCATCTCATATTTTAATTGTTTCTAGTTTAAAGCTTTGCTGGAGTAAATGAGTTATTGTAATTTTAGAAATCTGATGACATTTGCTTACACTCAAAAAACAGATTGCCAGATTTACTTGATCAAGTTATGTCAACAATTTCCACTCAACTGAGATGAGTAAATGTAAAGCAAATTTACATTTATTTTTTAAAGAAAGACAACTTTTAAGTAAATCCAGTACATTTTGTTTGAGTGTAGTTTAGCATAAGAAAGGGGATCATCATTTGTTTAAAACCATTTTTATTTTAYCACACAAACACCTGTTTTAATGTATTTCACAAAGAACACATAAAACATGAAATAACACTTAAAGTCACCTTAGCTAATAACTTTTATCTCTGTAGAGTTAGCCCCATGATTATGATTAGAGTATAAATAATGTAAAAGTACTTTTTTTTTTAGGAACATGGTTCATGTTGAAGGCATCCTATTAAAAAGCATTGGAGAGAAAAAAAACTGAATATATGTCCTGTCAAGCTTTCAGACAGTTTATGTCAACTTATGAAATGTTTGTCAGACACTGGAGATGTCTGTGTTAAAGYTGGAATTAAAAATSTACTTGAAGCCTCTTTTGGACAAACTCATACTGCAATGCTAACAACTAGGTTGAAGTAATTATTCACAACAAAATGTTCATAMAAGATGTCGTAAGTTGTCTAAARTTTATAATGTGACAGTGGGGTTAGAGGGTGAAAATAATCATTTATTTTCCAGACACATAGTTTAATTCTATATGATGATCAAGTAACTATGTTACCTTCAGTTGTTATTAAAATGTTTATTTCAAAAATAAACTTGACTTCGTCAAGCTAAACACCTTAAAATTGGCCTCTGTCTCTTTAAGAACKTCCTACTGTTTCTGACACTCCCACTTCAGCGTGTCTTCACAACAATGCTTTGGGGAAGAGATGCTCTGTGGGGCCGGAGCTCAGCTGCAGACTGAGCTCCCGGGAGGAGCTTTGGMTAAATGGGTGGGGCTTTGTACCAGCAAATGTTAAGGCAGCTCCACGTGGATACCACAGGAGATTGTTTTTGATGAGGGGATGACATTACAACATGATATAAAGCTCAAAAAAATTATTATGCATAACACCCCCACCCCCACTTTAAGAAGGACAAAAACGAGGTTGTGATGCTAAAACAGCTTCAGTTCAAATTCCATCATGGAGGCCTTTTGTTTGTTTTTTGAGCTTTTTTGTGCGCTAAAACGTGAGGAGGACGTGGGGTCCTCCTCACGTTAGAGAGCACGTGAGATGCTCACGTGGGGTTAGAGGTGGGGTTAGAGGGGGGGTTAGAGAGCAGAGGTGTGGCCAGGACGAGAGAACGTGACAGCCTCGGCTGAGCTGTCCGCCTCACAGGACAGAGGAGGAGGAGCGCTCCAGCAGCCTGACATAAAAAAATAAAAGCATACAGCTGCAGCTGCTCACAAGATCACTAGTTTAAATCAGGAATAAAAGTGTTTGGTCTTGTTTGACTGAAGTTCGGTCCGTTAGTGCTGCAGCTGCCCCGCTGTGTTTCTGCCTTTTTTCTACTGCCCCTCCCGCTGTGCAGGACATACTGCTGGTGTGTGTGTGTGT